TTTCCATTTCTTCACAATAATTACAACTTAAAAATAAGAATACAAAGCTATTTTATATTTTAGTGAAAAACTGCCATTTTTCATTCTTATTTACTCATAGCCTCTACAAAGCAGACGAGAACGCTTATAAACGCGTGCGAAACGAGCAACCTATGTAGAACGCGTTCGAAACGCATTCTGAATGCGTTTTCATACGTTTCGTCCGTTTAGAACGCATTCTTTAACCGTTTGTCTTGACCTGGGGCATAATAGAGAACAGGAAAGAAAATTTATTTGTTTAAAAGTGCATTCAATGAAAAGAGAGGAACGAAAAAAAAAGGGTTGAGTTGAGATCCGTACCATTCTGCAGTAGTACATCATTTGGAAATAATATGGCACGTGATTCGACGAAAACTGTAATTAAAGTTCGTCGAGATGAAAAACATTTATGTTCTTATTGGTACATTTAACATAAAAGTTTTTTTTTTCTATAAATGAAATTTTATTATTTTTTTTTTGTAATTATTGTACGGGTAAAAAATATCTTCTTCAACGTCATCTGAAATCCATTCAACAGAACGACCACATAAATGTAAATTATAAAACTAAATTATTTATTTTGTTTTAAACGGATTTTTTCTAGGTGCTTATTGTTCGAATACATTCAAAACAACAGCACAATTACAAAATCATGTTAATACTCATCTTGGTATTAAATCATTTCAAGTAAATATTTTATTGATTGATTTCGGGTTTGAATAATTAAATTCTGTTTTTTTTTAATTAGTGTAAATTTTGTGAATACAAATTTACTACAAGTGGAGAATTAATTCGTCATGTACGTTATAAGTAAGGATCGATAATTGAATGATTAACTATTTCTATCGATGCGTGAATTTCTTTTTTGAAATTAAAATTTGGAATTAGATTTTTCTACAAAACTACCGAAATCATAGGAACTTTAAGAGATACTATTGGAGTGTTATGTTTTAAGGGCTTCTATATGATATATGAATAATCCGAAAGAGAATCTATAAGATATACGATTTATCGATTTCTCTTGAATAATCTTAATGTTAATCCTTTATACTTGGTTACTAATCCTGTAGAGTGGGTGTTGAGTAAATCATCGAAAATGCTTAGTCAGGCACTGATTAGCAGAGATAGGCAAGTCAAGTCATTTTTTGAATTGAGGATTTTTTGAATGAATTATAACTTGATTTATTCTGATGATGACTTGACCTGACACTAGGTCATGCCAGAGGCGGCCAAATCAAGTCAAAAAACATATATATGTAGAGGATTTTACGCACGTTATTTTTTATCCCTAATATGAAACGTGAAAGAAAAATATAAATAAAAAATAGGAAATATTTCTATAAACTATATTCACAATGAAAGAAGACTGAAAAACTTTATAATAAGTAATTAACCTTTCCAACTTATATTGGTCATCTCGTTTCCTAATGAACTGCATTATTTTTCATGCGTCTTATAAGCTGTAGTCGAGATATTCGCGAACAGATTTGCTTTTTCCACTACTTCTTTTTGAGTTATTGTGAAACTGTTATAAACTCATTTTTCTTTTGTAAAAAATGAAAACTTCGGTAATTTGTTCTTTTCACGAAGAATAGAATGTTTGAAAAACATCACTTGAAATTAAATTTTGACTAGACACGACTTGAAAACGTCTAACTTGACTTGAAGACATTTATGACTTGACTTGACTTGTGATCGAAAAACCTTTGACTTTTCCATCTCTGTTGATTAGGACGCTGATATGGTTAAGTTTGGGCGAAGTTATTTCACTGAGGAAGTAAAGAATGGGCCGTAAATGATTCATTCATATTGAATGATAATAAAATTGAACTTATTGTTAGTCGGACTTCTTTTTCGAAGTCATGCTGTTATTTTATTTATGTAAAGCTGCAAACTTACTTATTATGAATTCTTTTTTGAAAAATGAATCATTGCGGTGAATAATATATGGTTAGATACCTGTAAAGGCGACTATTTGTGGATTGAAATTAGGCATTTCATTTTCTGGATCGTGTCCGAATCGTTATTCTTCATTTTCTTTTTATAATATGGAAGCATTGGCTCGGATTCCAATTCGAAATCATCCATTCCTATTGTTGAAGTTTCTCCCAAATGGAATGCCATAACGCTATCTTTTATGGATAACAAGATTATTTAAAAACGATTGTAGAATCCTGTTTGATGGAATATTAGTTCTAATGAAGTTTTTAGCGTAAAGATTATGTGATAAGTTTTTATCGAAAATAAAATAACGCTGAAAAAAAAAACATTTTTCGTCCTTTGACCACGAATGGCCAAAAATGGCAGTACAGGGTTAGTTGCACTATTTTTTGATCATGCAGTAAGACGTTTTCGATAAAATGGTATGACAACGAAGTTCAAGTTCCAACAATTCTGCTTATATGTATTAAATAATGACAAATTCTCAAGAATATCGCACTCTAGAATATTTAAGAGAAGTTTAACTAACAGAAAAAAAACAGCTAAAATCTAATCACGTGGTTTTCTACTGACGAGTGAACCTCTAGATGTCAAACCGGTTGTCGATCGAGACGATGCTCATTAGATGAGTAATAAAAAAATCTAGAATGGCTTGCTTTTTCGGATCTTCATTCTCGAAAACAAAAGTCAGTTAAAAAGAGTCGTATAAGTTCGTTTCTATTGTTTTATAATCACAAAAGGTCGCTGATTTTTCAATGTAATTTTTTTCATTTAAAGACATACACTTGAAAAGCCACATAAATGCGAAGAATGTGGTTATGCAACTGTTGAATTAAGTAAACTTGAGGGTGTGGGTGTGGGTGTCGGTGTGTGGGTGGGGTGTGGGTTTGGGTGGGTGTGTGGTGTGGGTATGTCTATCTTATATAAAGACTCACACTCACACCCACACACTCAGACCACACACCCACACCTACACCCATACCCACACCCACACCCGGTTCACAGCTTGTGCCAATGCTGAAGTGCATGTCAATCGGCTCCTCTTTGCGAGTTATTTTCATTGGTATACTCTTTATTATCAATCAACGCATTTTTGGCCCTGATAGGGTTTTTGAAGATTGGTCTTTTGGAAGAGGAAGGAAATACGTGTCTTTTGAGATCATAACTTATGACTGTATGACTATGTAAGCATTTTCAGAGCCTTCTGCTTCTATATTGCTACAACGAGTTTTTTCATGTCTATAAGAAGCATCGCAGAAGCTTCATAATAATAGGTAAACGTCGATAACATTCAGCTGTGGCGTCTATCACCGAAATTATAAACGAATACTGGGTATTTTGTGCAGTAGTGAGGTGCAAATGAATTTGACCTCTTCCGGAATGCACTGGAAGATCCCAAATCTGGAAAAGTGCTATTTGTTCCATCAAATAGGGTTACTTTGAGGGGAAAACCTATCAGCAAACATTACACAAACCTCAAGCATCAGCATATTCATCTAAGGATATCGAAAAGAAAATCAACTTATCCTAAATCGAGCGAATTTAATATAGCATGCCATTCACCACGTTAACCTGTTGTGGACAATCTCTATATCAATTCATGAAACCCAAAACACCGAAATCGTTTTGGTAACACCTCATGATTCGCACAAGTTTCGAATAAAAAGACAAGGACGCCAAAAAAGGTTCTTTCCAAAAGCCATTTTTGGAATAAGTCTTCCCTAAGCCAGAGCGATTCATATTAAACTATATAGCGATTGGTAGAACTGACTTACGCGAATAGTGTGAGATTCAAGGAACATTGGCAGAGGTTCTCAAGCTAGTCGAGACCAAAGAAACAATGACAGATTGTTCCAGAACCCATTTTCCAGATCCTATCTTTCATAACGTGAACGTATTGCTATGTATGGAGACATCGTTGACAACATAGACCATAACAACTCAACTAAAATGTATTAAACCACTGGCGCAGCCTTGCCAGTGATTCAGGCAACAAACATACCAGGATTACTTTTCCTAGGAACTGCTTTCCCGATACCACTGTTCAAAGATCCAGAGGTTCAAATGAAACCAGACACAGATGAGAACACCACAACGAATCGATACGATTAGCGTCAATCATAGCACTGGCACACTGTCTGTCGCAACTATGTAAAGCAAAAGAAATGATAGGTACGGCGTCAAACCTTTTCGAAGCCATGTCGTTCATAAAATGACATTATTCACATGTAGGCATACATACATCCACACCACGAACAAAGACCAGTCAATCGATTTATATCCGATCGGCGGCAAAAGTTCACAGTTGAATCACGGATGAAAAAAAAGTCCAGTTCGGAAAGAAGCTCCAACCCGTCTGCTATCTTCTATAACGTACATCGATCCATACCAAAACACATACAGTAAAAAGCACAGACAGAGATACATCGATTGACATGCGTTTTAACACCGGCACCAGCTGTGAACTCAAACGAGAAAAAAGAAAACTACGCGAGGTTCTTCAAAGATCTCTTTCAAAGATCCTGTTGTGCCAAAAAAAAACATTGATTCATACCAAAGCGTATAACAATGAACAGAATTTACCAAAAGGAGTCGATTGACATGCATTTCAGTATTGGCACTAGCTGTGCACCGAATCGGGAAAGCTCAAAACTACGCCAGGTTCTTCAAAGACCTACTTCGGAGATCGCATTTCGATAATATGCATTTATTTATATCAATTATATTCTATTCTATTCGTTTTATCGAGATCGATCTTTTGATGCATGTATTTGGGTTGGCACGCATGGGAAATCGA